TGGCATGCAGTGGTTTGTGTCGTGGCCCTGCGGCTTGTCTTCTCTCTCTCTCTCACTCTGTCCCTCTCTAGTCCAATTTAAATAAATAAATAGGTAAATAAAGTTAAATAAAATAATTCTTGGGGGGGGAGAAGAAGAAAGACTGAAGGTGACTGGGGGTGACCGAGGACGGGCGGTCTGTGGGGGAACCCGGGGCGCCTCACCTCTGCGACATGATCTTGAAAGCGTCGGGCAGGTAGCACTGCACGTTCTCCATCTGGAACGGGTCGGCATCGCAGATCTTGTCGTCGGTGCGCCCGTAGTTGGCGTTCTCCACCATGATGACGTCGCTGCCCGGGCACCGCAGCTCAATCGGGTAGCCCTCGCACGCCAGCTCCCGGCGCATCAGCCCGAACGGGAGCCCGGCCCGGCTCAGGCCTGCGGGGAAGGGGAGAAGCGGTCACGCCGAGGTCTGGGTCGGGACCCTGCGGGTGGACTACCGAGGAGGCACGGTGGTTCAGCTCATGGCGTCCCCCAAGCCGGCTGCGAGAAGCTCTTTTTCCACCTGTCCATGGGCTCTCAGCGTGCCCACTTGTGCTGGAAGGATGCAGACCACGCTGGGAGAGGATCCAGTCTCTTCGCTCCCCTCCTGGGGTGGCCTAGATCAGCGGTCCCAGGGGTCCCTGTCCGCCAGTCGGGTGCAAAGGGGAGCGGGTAGCTGGTCCCATGTCCAGTTGCATCAGCAGCAGAATTCGATTCTCCAGGGACCGCAAACCCTACCGCTGCGCCATTGTTTCTTTGTATATTTCAATGGAGTTGTGATAGAAACCTAACCGAACGTTGGTGATGGTAGGTTGGGTCATTCTGGAACCAACCCCGGTTCCCTTGCAGTGGAGGGGCTGTTTTCCAGAAAGCCAGTCCCTAGGCAGGTTGTGGGCTGCTATTCTAAATCCTTGACATTTTTTTTTTTTAAGAATTTATTTGGGGCTGGCAGGTGGCATGGTGGTTAGGGCACTGGACTCCCACACGGTTGACTGTGGTTTGAGTCCTGGACCTGGCAGCTTGCTTTCTTATGCTCTCTCTCTCTCTCTGGTCTAAACAAAACAAAACTAATAATAATAAGTAGAATTAACTAGTAATTATTTTAAAAATAGAATATTTGGGGACCAGCAGATGGTGTAATGGTTATGCTGCTGGAGCCCCAAGTAGTCGATAGCAATTTAAGTCCCAGACCCGGCAGTTTGAAACTCGGGCCGGGCCTGGGCACGTGTGCATGCGTGACTAAGATCCTGAAAGGATTGTGGGGTGGCCAGCCCCCAGAGGGAATGGCTTCTCACTTTCTGTTTGTCTGTCTCTCTCTGGTGAGTGCAGGCGCCCTATGGCAGAAATCTCTCTAAAATAATAATCATTACTATTATTATTTTTAATTTGACCAGAGAGAGAGAAGGAAAGAGCGAAAGCAAGCCACCAG